GAGCACTTACTTGTCTTATAATATCTTCATGTGCTTTTGTTCTGTGTTTTTCTCTTTTAGCCTCAATTCGGTATCATAATATATTTTCTAAAGATATTTAATTTAAATACACAGGGGTGAGTTTTGCTGGTGTTGTTGATGACGTTCAGAATATGCACTTTGGTATACTGAATTTTTTGAGCTAAAGGTACTTGAAAAACAGAAACTGCCGAAACAGGCTTTCCCTGAACTTCTCTTAACTACCTAAGGACAGATCCTCCAAAGTGAACTCAATTGTCATGAATCCCCTTCCTGGGAGCTTCATCAACCAGACAGGACTGATTCCGATCACAGGAGAAGAGACTAGACATTGACACCACACCCAGACAAACTTGGTCATAAACTATCACATCTCTTATCTGTTCTTATAAAGTCTCATTCATCTTCCCTAAATACTATTTACTCTCTCCTAAATTGCCTACATCCATCCCTCCCTCCCCCTATATAAGCTGTCAGATCTCACCACTGTTTAAGGTATACAGTTTCCCCATGTACATACTAAAAATTAACAAATTTGCGTACATTTTCTTCTGTTAATCGGCCTGCTGTCAGTTTATTTCATAGACCCAGCTATCGAATGTAGGAGAGAAGAGGAAAAAAGTCTTTTCTTCCCCACACAAAGAAGAAAGAGGAACGTGATGACATCAATGAATGTAGCCCGTTGTCAGTGAGTAAAAGAAGGGACATGTGTACTTTTAAAATTATGAGGTTGATTCCCCCACATTATTAAGTCTATGGGATGTCTTACAGCTATGGATTCTCACATGGAAATATAATAGCTTCTCCAGCCTGCTAAGATGCTCGGAATTTCCATCATCAAAGCTCTAGGAAGTCGCGGGTTCAGTAGGAATGTTTCTCAAGAAATATAGCACAATAACACATTGCAATCTTTTTTTGAAAATGAAAATGATTTACCTTACTAGATCAGCCCATTCCAGAAAACAGACCCCTGACAAAGTGAAAGCTAAAATCCTTTTTTATGGAGATAGGGAGGTGGTGGTGGTTGTGGAGGGGTGGGATGGGAGAGGAGGCAAGACTGGCAAGGAGGCAAAAAATTAGGGCCACCCCAAACTGAGCTGAGGGAGTTCAGGCACAAATGAAAAGAAAAGGGGAGTATCAAAGACCAATTTTCACAATGGTCGCACTCCTCCAAATAAAAACTGATTTATTTCAGTTAACAGCCTGTTTACTGCTAAACCCAACACTGCATACCTTTTGATTGCTAATTGTACTCATTTCAGATCTGTCATTGTTCATATTTGGTTGTCAATAGCAGCTTCTATAGAAACAGAAATGAAACCAATAATTGAATATTTATTCATAATGTAAAATAAAATTATTTTGCCCAGTGTTTCAGCCAAGCGTTGACAGGAAATCCAACCAGAGTTTGAAGGGAAATGAATTTTCTGACAAGTTTTAAATTTCAGCATCCCATATTTTCAGGCAAATGGAATAAGAGGAGCTGTTCTTGGCAGGAAACCAACTCCCTCCCTTCCACTGGAAGGGCTTTGTTCCTGTTACTAGTGACTCACTAGATTACCTCAGTTAAGTCCCTTTACCACGGTGGGTCTTTGTTTCTCCACAACCCCAGATAATACCTACAAAGGATCTGAGGCTCCTAGATAAGAAGTAGTATTTAGGGAGAAGTTGGCATTTGTATGGTGATGAAGTCTATGACATCATTTATCGCAGTTCTCCTTGTAATTAGAACCCAAGGAGAGCTTCCAGTATCTTCTCAGCACCAGCCTTGGAGAGCCTGCATATTGCTAGTCTCAAAACCCAGTCAAGGGTTATTAAAATTTGAGGCAGGCTTCAAAGCTACCCTGCAATAACTAAATATGGTAACTGCCTCTCTGTAATCTGGTTTCTCCTACCCCCTGCCCCTCCCTAACCCACCCTCTTGAGACTCATAGTTTTTTCATTATGTGGTATAGGGATACAGGCTACAGACTAACTCGGAGAGGTCAAGTATACTCACTGTATGTGGTTTGTGTCATGGGAACGTTAGCATGTTTCACCACAGTGAAAATGGCACATAACCCAGGAATTCTCCGAAAACACTCCATATAATCAGAATTCAATTTTCCTCTAGTAAGGAAACAGGTGTTTTCCTCCTGTGTGTCCACTAGATGTTAATAAGCATACCTTTCTCTTTGCAGAGCTCTGTTCATCTTGCTAGAGACTATCACAGAAATTAAAGTGCCTTGCAAGACTTTGGGGCACTCTATATCTCTCCAAATTTGATATTTCCTTTCCTGTACGCCCTTATGGAGTCTCTCTGTTCCTCTTCCACTCTTCCTTCTGATTTACCACCGAGAAAATCCTTATTGGTTTGGCCCACGTGTTGTTAGAAAGGGAAACCTGTATGGCCAGAGCTCTGACTTAAAAAGACAGAGAGGACAGTAAACTCTAGGAATGGGCAGGATTGAGGATGCTTCCTCAACAGACAGTCAGTCCAGCAGAAGAACTGGGGAAAAGGGGAGAGAGCAAAACTGAGAGTTACAGACCACTCCTGCATCTGACTGCTATTAACTCATCACAAATCCCAGCAGGCAAGACGGTATAGTGGCTACTATGGGACACTCGAAGTGGCAGATTCGGTCATGGTCTTTCAGGCTTGTTACTCCTGCTATTGCATCCCCACTCATCAAACCAAGCAGCAGATGTAAACCTAGAGGGGCAATGGAAGCTACAGGGGAGGTTGCAGGGCCGGAGCCAGACAGGAGAGAGAGCAGGCAAATTCTATTCCCAAAGGAGCACAAGGGGACAGTGGTCTGAGGGTGTTCTTTCATGGATACCATCTTTTATCATCTCAGCTAGCCCAGAATATTTCCTGAGGATGGAACGAAGGCCCACCTGGCTCCCAAGCTCACCTTCTGCTGCTGCCCAGCACCCACCTCTGACTCAGTGACTGCTGTGTGTTTGTGAGGCTGGGGGCCAGGGTAGAAACAATGGCCTTGAGATTTTAAGTCTTGGAGGATCTTTTCTGAGAGTAATATTTAAGACCCAACAGTGTTTACCTCGGAGTAAACAGGCCCAGTTCCAATCACGGCTCTGCCACTGACCGACAGTGTAGACTTGGGGTAAATGGCTTAAGCTTCTTAACACTTTAATTTCATAGCTTCAACGTGGAGTTGTTTTGAGGCTTAAGTGGCAGAGTGCCTTTCAAACACTTAGCCTAGAGAGCGGCATATAGTAAGGACTTAATAAACATTATTATTATCATATTCCCTATGCATTGTTTGAGAGTCGGTAGCTAAAAACATTTGTGAATGAACAGCTTATACCAGCAGGTATAAGAAGAAATGCCAGGAGGTTTGGAGTTGTCAAAAGAAGTCCCAGCCATTGGTTTCAAATGGCCAGCACCAGCCTTGGAAGCTTGGCCACTTCTGACTCTCCGCTCTGAGTGTCTCTTTGCCAAAAATGTGCCACCTAGTCCTCATCCAGTCCTCCATCCAGCCTCTGCAGGTCCTTACTGGAGAGGAAAGCATATTTTTCTAATTCCAAAACTGAGATACACGGCCCAACAAGTATAATTAAGTCTAGAAGGGGACAATGCACAGAATATTTCAATCTGGTTCTAGTTTAGCTGTTCTAAGAAATGCGCCAAGGGGGACTCTTAGCCAGTAAAAGTGCCTGCCTCTCCCTCTGCAATTCAGGCGCCTCCACTGTCCAAGTGGCTGACACCCGGTTTCCACAGGACGTCCTTTGGGTAAAGACTGCGGGTTACCACACTCTTTAATAAGGGGTGGGGGTCGTGGGTGGGTAAAATGTATTATCAGCCCTTGACACCTTGGCCTGAACTAATTGTCCGGTCATCGAAAAGAGCTCCTCGTAGGGCCTTAGGGGGGACACGCAAGGACAGCAATAATGGACTAGAAATGATTTCTAAACCGAGATGTTCCTGAATGCCGAGCCCCCTGGGCACCTGGTGTGCAGGAAGGGAGAAAGGGGAATCAGTAAGGTGCAGAACAGGGTTGATAGCTGCTCTGATTCTCGACTTCACCTAAGACAGGTTTTGCTCCTGCAAGTTTCAAGGCCGCGGGGCCTCAGGAGGTCACCCCAACAGCCCGCCTCTGGGTGGCAGAACGCTGGGGTGGGGACGGACGGACGGAGGGCTGTGAAATCCCCACGGGGCCCAGGGTAGGGCGCTCCCCGACCAGCTCGTCACGTGCACAGCCCTAGCCTTTCCAACCCGGCCCCGAAGGCTGCGGTCCCGGACGCCCGGGTGGTTTTTAGGGTTTTCTTTCTTTATTATTTCCCTTATTGTTCTCCCCAGTTGGTGATTTTCTGCAGAAAAACGGCTGAGAAAAAAGAACCTATTTCATTTCCAGTTCCCATCACCGCGATTTCCACATGGATGTGACGTTGGGCCAGCTTCCGAAATGCCCAGGTGACTCACGCGGGGACACCCGGGGGCGGGGCTCAGGAGTTTCTCGCGCGGGGGGGGCGGGGCGGGGCGGGGCGGGGCGGGGCGCCGCCGGCCTCCTGCGCCGCCCGCGCCCCCTGCGCCCCCTGGCGGCCGGCGCCCGCGGGGGCTCGGCGCCGGCCCGGGCGTCACGTGACTGGAAAGTCCCCGGGTGGAAATCCCCGTTCTCCGCCGGCGGTAAAACAGAAAGGGAAAAAGAGAACTGGCAGTCTGCAGTCTTCGCGGCGGGCCGGTGCAGCGCGCTCGGAGCCCGCGGGGGCGGAGCGGTGACAGCAGCCGCCGGGACGAGCGCGGCGGCGGCGGCGGCGGCGGCGGCGGCGGCGGCGGCGGGCGCGAGCCACACAGCCCCCCGGCGAGCGAGCGCCGAGCCCCGGCGTCCATGGGGCGCCTGCTCCGCGCGGCCCCGACCCCCGCCTGCGGCGCGCGCCTGCCCTGACCCGGACTTGGGACTTTGGAAGAGGATCGCGCGGCCGGGACAGGTAACCGCCGCGTGCCCGTGCCGTCTGCCACCGGCTGCGCGGGGCCCGGGCCGTGCGGGTGCGTCACTGGCAGCTCCCCGCGGGCGGGCCCGGGCCCGGGCCCGGGCCGGGACCGGAGCTCGTTGGCCGTGGGCGCTCGCTGTGGGATGTGCAGTGCTGGGAGTCGAGGTCGCCGCGCAGGACGCTGGGGTGACGGCTCCGGGGTCCTCCGGCCAAGAACGTAAGCTGCAGCGCTGCAGCGGACGGCCGGAGAGGAGCCTCGGGACTGCTAGGCCGGGGGGTCCTCGGTGCTTTGCCCCTTTTCGTGCCTCGCTGATTTTCCGATCAAGCTCTGGATGCTCGCGGGCACGGAGACCTTGCAGAACCGCTGTGGCCTCCCTCTCCCCGGCTGGTGCAGAGCCAGGCCACCCGCCGGGCGGGGACAGCTTGCAGACCCCCGCAGCCCGGGGCAGGGAGGTGGGTGGGGCGGAGGGACGGTGCTGAGCTGCTTCAGGCGCCGCAGGGCGCGAGGAGCGTGCACGCTGAAGCGGGACGTCGGCCTGTTTTCGGGTGCTCCAGTTTACGGCGACCTGGAGGCCCCCGCCCCAGCGCCTACCCCACAGTCCGACGGTCGCTGTCAGCCGGGGTCGTCCCACATCCTGCCACCTGGCCTCTCGGGAAAGCAGCGGTATTCAGTAAGGAAGGAGCTCAGCGCTTTTGAGGCCGCTTTGTTTTTCGGTTCTCCCCGCCTCTGATCTCCTTTCCTTGGAAAGCTGCTCTGGTCAAGTGTCTCAGGGCAGCATTTGGGGAGGACCGTGGTTCATCAGTCCTCTGGACCTTAGCACTGGTGTCCGCAGCTGCTACGCAGCCGCTTGTAGCTCCATTCCCATCGTCGAAGGTGCTGCTTTGTTTTCTGTTTTTGTTTTTGTTTTTTGTTTTTTTTTTTTTAGACAATTCTTTGTACAAGTTTTGGAGTTTAGGAGTGATAGTCACCAAAAATTCGATGGGGCATTTATTGATTTTGAAAAAAAAAAAAAGTCAGTGAGGTGACAAATGTAAAAGAAATGGTAAGGGTGGGATCCCTGGGTGGTGCAGCGGTTTTTAGCGCCTGCCTTTGGCCCAGGGCGCGATCCTGGAGACCCGGGATCGAATCCCACGTCGGGCTCCCGGTGCATGGAGCCTGCTTCTCCCTCTGCCTGTGTCTCTGCCTCTCTCTCTGTGTGTGTGTGTGACTAGCATAAATAAATAAAAAGATTTTAAAAAAAAAAAAAAGAAATGGTAAGGGTGATAGCATATGTCTTTACCTGTAAGGACGTTACAGTCATAGGTCAGGAAAATTTATTCTTTAATCTTAAATGTGGAGAAGTCCGAGAACTGGGAACTTGGCTGGTGGGTTCTAATTCTTTTCAGGAGGCGATCGATTCCACAGTGTGTGCAAGGCTAAAACTATGAATGAGATGGCCCAGGGCTATACGGTACTGACATTTGCATGTCTTACATATGGCAAAGAGCCCTTGTGCTATTTGAGGTCTTTGCTGAAAGATCTTTAAATTAGAAGAGGTTAAGAGAAGATTCAGAAAACTCAAAAGGCAACACCTAGCTTCTTTCAAATCTTTTTACTTCCGGCCTCTTCCCGTCTGGTAGCAGCAGGCACAGGGATGGCGTTGTGGGAACAGCAAGGGGCAGGTGTTGTTGGAAGATCTGGCTTCCAGGCAAAGCTGTCTGCCTTGGGTGGCGTGGAACCTGAGCAGGACCCGTACTTGCGTCGCCTTGGCTGTGGACAGGGAATAAGGGCACCTGTGATTTTTAGTCCCAGCACCCAGCATGGCTCTCAGCAGCTGAGCAGGCAGTGCTTTTTAAGCAGTGGACAGATGAATGAGTGATTGTGAGACTGGCCATGGCACAAAGTGGAAATGGGTGTAATGTTTTTATTGCTTCGTTATGCTTGTGCCCTGCAATAATTTTTGCCCGGTTCCACCTTCAGGGAACTGAAGGAAAGATTACCAACTGGCCCAGAGAATAACTTCTCCCAGGCCTCATTGACAATCAGATTTGGAATCCTGGTCCAAAACTATCACCAGAAAACTCCTCAGAAGCAACCTTGGGTCATCTACTTTAACCTCTCTATTTTGGACCACAAGTTATAAATCACTTCATCAATGGCTTTAAGAGAGCCTAAACCCACCTAGGAATGGCTTCCCTAAAATCTAGGTTTCTTCTCACTCTTACATAGGTTTCAAGTCTTCCTCAACTAGAAGCTTGCCCTGGCAAATAGTATGGTGCAGGAGTGAGATTAGCAATCTCCATGAAACTTCCTAGGGAATGTCTTCATGCTCCAAAACCATCTTTGCCTTCATCTTGGAAACCAAGATGTATGTTGGGGCACCCTGCTAAGGCTTGTGGACGAGAGCTGGCTTTCCACACAGCTCCACACTGCAGAGATCCCACGTTGCATCAATTCACAACATCCTACGCTATTGGCATGGGTTGTAGATGCTGGGTTTTGTCTCCCCCCTTCCCCCCGCTTCCTTCATTTATCATGAGCATCCCCCTGGCTGAAACATCTTTCCTTGCCCATTTCCAGACTTTTATTTCCTTCTACCAGCAGATTATGTTTCAAGATTCCAGGGTGAAGACAGGGTGGGAATGCATTTGAGTGTTGGTACCTGGACAATGATAATAACTGTAGTTAAGTTGAAATAATTGAAATCCAATGCCGGCTCTCGGAAGTGTAAAATTTATTCTATTATTATTATTATTATTATTATTATAATTCTATGTCCTATTCTGATGTTGTGAAGTTCAGTGGAGAGGTTCTGAAAAACTTGTCGTTGACCCTTAAAATTGCAAAGCTTCTTACTGGAAATAGGCTTTTTCATTGGTTCTAAGGTATTCAGTTTTAACCTTTATAAATAGTATAATACATTTTTGTAAATAAGCTCTTGATAAATATTTCTCTTCGGGGCTAAAGAGGAAACTCTAATCAGCAGCCTACGTGACAACATAAAATTGTGAGATTTTCCACAAAACATTTATTTATTCTGCAGTGTAGGGTGGGAGGGCTCAAAAGAGATAAATCAAGGCTTTGCCTAAAAGCCGGGGCTGCTCAGCAGTGGTGAAGCTAAGGACTTGTCAGGGCCACCTTGTGCCCGTCACTGGCATTAGGAGCTCCAAAGACCCAGTGGCTGTGTCAGAGTGGCATGCGAATGAGAGGGGAGCTTGTTGGTTATGAGGTGCAGTACCTGTTGCTGACGGATGGGCTTGGCTCCCTAACAGACGTTACTGAAAACACGGGTTATTCCCCTCCTCCTCAATACCCACTCCCCGCCTTCCTTCTCTTGTTTAGACTAATCTTTAAAAGTGATGTAACTTAAAACAGTCCAGTGTGAGTTAATCTCGGGGGCCAGCTAGTATCCTGGAGTAGAGGTGACTAAGATCTTTTGCCTACAGATGAGGCTAATGACAAGATCAAACACTGGGGTTTCCTGCAGGCAGGTATATAGGAGTGGTATCGAAGTCGGGCTAACGGAATGGGTTTTTCTTCCCTCCTCTTCAGGTGTTGCAGAGCACGATGGCTGAACAGCTCCTTCCCCAGGCTTTGTATTTGAGCAACATGCGGAAAGCTGTCAAGATACGAGAGAGAACTCCAGAAGACATATTTAAGCCAACCAATGGGATCATTCATCATTTTAAATCCATGCACCGATACACACTAGAAATGTTTAGAACTTGCCAGTTTTGTCCACAATTTCGGGAGATCATCCACAAAGCCCTCATTGACAGAAGCATCCAGGCCTCCCTGGAAAGCCAGAAGAAGCTCAACTGGTGTCGGGAAGTCAGGAAGCTGGTGGCACTGAAAACGAATGGTAAGAAGCTTTTGTCTAGGGGTTGGCTCCCACAGTACTGGATCCCCATTCATCATTCATCAAAGTCTAATAGCACTGGTCCAAACTCAAGCCTTTTGAGAGCATAACCACCTTAGTATAGAATACTCTATAAAAAGCATGTGATAAAAGCAAGCTTGTATACCGGTGTTTTTATTAAGGATATTTTGTAGTTGTGCATATTAGAGAGCAGAACCACTCAGGCTTGAGGAGTGCATCTCTAAACACCGTGCCTCCCATTAGGGGACTTAGGTATCTTAATTTTTGTGGCTATTTGTGTAATCATTTGTAAAATACCCTTTCCTGGCCAGTCATGGAAACCTTAAAAGACTTTAAGTTCAAAAGGAAAGCATGGTGTGAAAATTAGTATTACTATTGTCTCCCACAATCATTAGAAAATGTTCATAATGATGACCTTACATATTTTGAACTGATGACATGTTATGGCTTAACCAGTGAATGGCTGCTGTCTGCCTCTCCCTTACCTAGGTTCTGTTGGTTTTGGTCCCAAGATACAAAGTAGAAAGATACTTGAGATTTTTAGCCCAGATTTAGAGACCTTTACTTCACTATTTTTAGGGATTCCTAGTTCTGAATTTCTCGTGTCTCTCTGTGTGTATCTACCTATTGGCCCTTTACTACTGGTAGTTGTTTCCTGTTCTAAACTTCACTGTTTTGTTTTTTGATTATTACCCTTGAGCAAGAGTATGTGTGTCATGGCAACATCCGAGCCTACAAGATACAAAAATCCAACATTATAACATCACTGATTATTACAGCATCAAGTAGACTGTTCACCATCAATTAAATGCTTATAGTCTAGATGAGGGCAGAAATCAGGTACTTATGTAAGTAACAGTCCTTCCTTAAGACCACCTCGATCAAAATAATAGACCTAAGCGTAGGAAATCCTTGTCAGTGAGAGGATAAGAATATTAATTAAGTTAGTTGATACCTTACCTTTGGACATTTTTGAGTTGGGTAATGTGGAGTGATTGGAGATACGTATTCTGGTGGGGGGGTCTTGTGCATAATTACTACAATATCTTGCATCTTGTACTTTTGAAGTACAGATTCTTAGAAACAAAAGTAGAATGAAAACTGGGGAGAGCTAGTGTTTACATTGTTCTTGGCCTTAAATCAAGTGATGCGTAGAAGTGGGTAATTATGTTAAGTCATCATCAAGGGGTTTATATTCCTGACAGCTTGTGGTTTTAACTCTCTTCCATTTTGTTACCAAAAAGACAGAGTGAACGTTGGGAAAGTTGGAAACAGATTAGAGATGTGGTAGGAAAAGGAAAACCTTCCTATCTTTAACAGAATTAACTGACATTTTAGGTTGAACTTCTGCCTTAAGAAGAAATGAATGTAAATAGTCAACACTTGTCTTGCCAAGATAAGTCATTAAAGTCAACAAGGATTCATGCTACAAATCAAGCTACAGAAGCAAGTGTTTTATAACAATTTCTGGGAAATAGGAATTTGGGGGCTCAGACCCTTTTATTTTCCCAGTTTGAAGAAAATTTCTTAAAATTCGGGAAAAGGGAGAAAAGATATTTAGAGGAGGGGACATAGACAAAGTGACTTTTACTCTGGCTTTTATGAAGCACCCTTTTTAAAAAAAAAAAAAAAAAAAAAAACCTTTCTCCACTAGGAGGGTTCTACAAAATCAATGGTCTGTTTGGGGAGGGGGTGATTCACAAGTTTGCATTTGAGGATATGAGACTGCGGTGAATGAGGAAGGGAGTAGGTGGCATAAAATTGAAACTTCATGTGAAAAATTCCAGCGTCTATTGGCTGTGGCGATTTCACTTGTATAATGAGTAGCCCTATTCCAGCTCACCCTGGCCACACCCACTTGGAAAGTCCAGGGCGCCCTTCGCAGTTTAAATGTCTACACACCAGAACAAAAAGTACAATAGCTGTTGCTCAATTGCTAGTCAAATCACTTAGCACTGGGGAATTCCAGATGTTACTTAGGGAATTTTGTACTGGTGCATCTCAATAAAGAACTGAAAGTAAGCACAACAAGAAGAAAAAAAAGCCTTATCTTTGCTCTAGATTTTGCAAAGGGGAAATTTCAACAGAATGCAATCGTTGCCACACTTCTGCCAAGACAAAAGGCTGAGCGATCTTTTTTGTTCGCTTGTGTGAATCCTTACTTAGCTTGTCTTTCTGTGTGTATGAATTGCAGGGATGCCTGCTGCGGGTGTATATGCTTGAGGGGCCTTCATTGTTGTTTTGTTTTTGTTTTTTACAGTTTGGCTACAATTAAGATTTGATAAAAATTTCAAAAAGCTTTTATAGCCCCGCTTGTAGAGTAATGTAAGAAAACAGTTGAACTCTTCTTTATGAAAACAGTGGTGCATTTGCCCACAAGATAGTAAGGAGTTAACTCGTTTGGTATTAAACATTCTCCCCAAATGTTTATTGTTTCGAGGCTGGGAAAAAAAGGCAGTCTCTTGAATTGTGGGATTTAGCCTGTGAAAGGAACAGGTTAATGGAGTAAATTTAGACCCATCTTTTTCTCACATGCTCAAAAGGCAGGCTGAGGAGGTAACTCGGGGTTCTTGATCCCACTTCACAAACCAGGAGAGGAAACTCCCAGGCCCCAGAGGCCTCAGTGGAATGGTCAAGTCATTTACCACTGAGTCATAGCCAGACTGTCCTTGTCTAGTGAACGGAGCCAAGCCAGCTTCCTGGTTTGTGCATATCACCTTGTGTGTTCTCTGTAGAGCCAGAGAGTAACCGTGCCTTTGTCTTAGCCAAAACATCAAGGAATGCTAGAACGAAATGAACTGTAGAGATCTTAATCCAATACCCTCATTTCACAAAGAGAAGAAATACACAGAAGTTGACAAATTTCCCCCAAAGGTGACACCTAAACCAGTTAGGGCAAGCCGGGCTAGACCCAAGGTCCCCCAATAATCATTCCCTGGTTCCTTTGCTCTGTTGGTGTCAGGCATTAAAAATAAGAGCGAAAAGAATTTTTGTTTTTTCCCTTAAAGCTGTCATCACCTTGTGCAATGATCTCATTAGCCCTTGGACTAAGAAATTAAACCATTGCCATTTCTCACATGCCCTCTTGGGTCCCCTCTGATAGCAGCAGGGCTCATGCATCTTAAAAACCTTTGCAGGCCTTTGATGTGTATGGCTTCTGTCCTCAGGCGATGGAAACTGCCTCATGCATGCTGCCTCTCAGTACATGTGGGGTGTTCAGGACACAGATTTGGTCCTGAGGAAGGCGCTCTTCAGCACTCTCAAGGAGACGGATACACGCAACTTTAAATTCCGCTGGCAGCTGGAGTCTCTTAAATCTCAGGAGTTTGTGGAAACGGGACTTTGCTACGACACTCGGGTATGTTCCCCCATGAAGTATCTATCGATAGAGCTCCACGGTGAGCAAAGGGTCCCTCAGGCCAGCCCCTGCTCTCAAGGAGCATATGATTTACTAGGTCATGTGCACTTGGCGAAGCAAAGCATAGTCAATGGAAAACACCCGAAACCTCTGATGGGATGACCCTGAGGCTTTTGTCACTGCTGGGAGGTTTCCAGGCAACAGATTCCCAGCTGTGCATCTCTTCCTTTTAGAAGGGCATCTGCTCACAGCCTTTCCTGTGGTGTTTTGGTTGCTTTCCAACCTGCCTGCCCTTTGCACACTTTGCTGAGCCCGCCAATCAAAATCAGACGTGGGGGCTCCTCATTCTCAGTCACAGGCTTGGAATTTTTGTGTACATTTGGATAAGGGGCTTTGGTGTTATGCCTCATCAGGGATTTTTTTGAAGGCAGGTGCTGTCCCCATCCTCCCCCGCTTGTAAGTGTGCCTTAGAGTGGAAAAAAGTAAAGGAAAAAAAACCAAAAGGGGGAAAAAGGGTGATCATTTGAACGATGATTTCCAAAAAGGGGAAAAGTAAGCTGAGTTATATAAATGAATAATTCTATCACGAAGTCAGACTGAGTTTTTAATGCATAGTACATTCAATCATGATTTTTCCCTTTACCTGCTTCTCTTTAGAATTGGACTGATGAATGGGACAGCCTCGTCAAAATGGCATCCACGGAGACACCCGTGGCCCGAGGTGGACTTCAGTATAACTCCCTGGAAGAAATACACATATTTGTCCTTTGCAACATCCTTAGAAGGCCAATCATTGTGATTTCAGGTGAGAGGCCACGGGTCACTTATTTGTCTTATTTGTATTTGAGTGCTGTTGAGCTTTAATGCTTTAGCTCTTGGGAAAAACCCAGACTTCCCAGGGGCAATAGTAGCTGAAGGGAATTTGATGAAAATCACCTGAGGGCCTTATTTCTTTTGCTCTTTCTCTAAACAGACAAAATGCTGAGAAGTTTGGAGTCGGGTTCTAATTTCGCTCCTTTGAAGGTGGGCGGGATTTACTTGCCTCTTCACTGGCCAGCCCAGGAGTGCTACCGATACCCCATCATTCTCGGCTATGACAGCCAGCATTTTGTACCCCTGGTGACCCTGAAAGACAGCGGACCTGGTAAGAAAACCAAGCGTGAGTTCACATTTGTAACTGCTGGTAGATACTGGGATGCCCTGTTCCCACCGAACATGAGGCTCCTTAGGGCTTTCTGGCAATAGCCTCATTTATGTTTATTAGCTATTTTTTATATGAATACAGTGTTGTTTCATGTGCCTGATTAGCAACAGTAATGCAGTGGCAATATTCCCAATACCCACTATCTTTGTCTATGGCTTGGAAAGCACTTTCCATAGCTTAATTGCAAGTAGGAGATACATATACACCCATGACTACTGCCATTTGATCCATTTGATCCATAACTGAATGAGGCACACAGAGCCCTGGCATGGAGCAGATAAATGTCTGTGAGGTTAGCTGCTATTATGATGGCTTCCAGTGGAAGAGTGTGTGTGCTAAGTGCTTTAGAGACAGCATTTCATTTCATTTCATCCTCATAGCGTTCCTATGGGCTATAAGCCCTGGGAGCCTTATCTTACAGATGAGACCCTTGAAACTCAGAGAGGTTCAATAACTTGCCTGATGTCACAGAGCTTGATGATGGCAAAGTGAGGATTCAATCTCAGATCAGTCTGGTTCTGAAGTGTGGCAATTTAACCAATGAGATCCACTGCCTCCAGGCTGCCTGATATTCTCTAACCTTCCAGAACAAAGCATTTTATGTTAGAGTTTAGTGTAGTTTATTTCTTCATCTGAGTGCGACTGGGGCTAGGTGATACTTTTCTACTCTTTCCTTGTATCCTTTTTATGTTTTCAAAATGTGATCATTATATATGTGGCCTCACACATAATTTCATTTAATAGAACCATGTGTCTCTTACCTGTTATTTTTTTCCTCTCAGAAATCCGAGCTGTTCCACTTGTTAACAGAGAGCGAGGAAGGTTTGAAGACTTAAAAGTTCACTTTTTGACAGATCCTGAAAACGAGATGAAGGAAAAGCTCTTGAAAGAGTACTTGATGGTGATCGAAATTCCTGTCCAAGGCTGGGACCATGGCACCACCCATTTGATCAATGCTGCAAAGTAAGAGTTTATCCTTAGCTCTACCCTTTGTCATCTTCAGTTGCTTTTTACTTCCACCACATAAGGCAGTGCCACCCCAGCTCAAATAACCATAAAGTTATTTGAAGCCAATCTCCTCCAATGTGAAACAAATTCAGAGTGGTGTACATGAGTCAGAGAGGATGACCGGAGGCCATACTAATTTGGGTTTCACATGGGAAAAAGTAATTTATTCATGGTGATTTTCCTGCATATCTGGATGCTGACGGAATTGTGGCTTTTAAGTATATTGTATTAAACCAAGGATAGTTTTGTTTTGTTTTGTTTTAATTGCCCTAGTACTAAGCTAGCAAATGAAAATTCTTGGAGATGAAAGCCTTTTTCTTTTGGCTTCTTGGTAAAGACAGACACATCAGACACAGACTGGGCTGTAGATCATGTTTCTGTGGCAGCCGTACGATTTTGGCCACATGAAAGTGACAGAGACCCAGAGTGCATGTTGTACAGGTATCCATATATTAAACACTGGTTTCCTGTTAGATGCCTGTTTGTTAGGACTTGAAATACACAAGAGGGGACGATGGAGGGATAGGAGAATCCGTTTCTCAAAGCGGAGGCGGGCCCATACAAGAGGATCAGAAGTCCATGGACAGCACCTGTGAGCGTGGTGGCTACTTAGTCACTGTGCAGGGTGGTTAATGCTGATACAGACCAGGCACAAGTTTAAGATCAATAAGATCAATAACAGCAAAACAGAGGCAACGAGCTCTCAAAGTAGTTTCGACTATGAAGTAGCCTCATCCCAAATGAATACCCTATGCAATATTTTCATAGAAGTTTGAGAGAAGTTAAAAGGTAAAAGTGACTTTTGAAAAGAGGAATAGAGTAATCAAGTGTGGAAGCATCCCCAGAATAGCCCTTTCTTTAGAATTATCTGTATTTTGGGGTGGACCAAGATTGATTAAGTAAGATTTTGATTCTTGAAATAACGAAATCTTCGTAGATGGACTGTGCTACATTGGAAGCGCAGACTGTTAATCATAAGCCTGCATTTCAGTGAATGCTTGTGAAGTTAATGCCATAATCCACATTCTAAAAGTTTGCCCTATGAACTAATGATATGAAATCGTGTGTGTGTATCTGTGTTTGTGTGTAGCCTCATATTTTTCCTTTTGGTCTTTAGGCTGGATGAAGCCAACTTACCCAAAGAAATAAATCTGGTAGATGATTACTTTGAGCTCGTCCAGCACGAGTACAAGAAGTGGCAGGAGAACAATGAACAGGAGCGGAGAGAGATGCATGCTCAGAATCCTTTGGAACCTTCCGTTCCCCAGCTTTCTCTCATGGACGTAAAATGTGAAACACCCAACTGTCCTTTCTTCATGTCGGTGAACACCCAGCCTTTGTGCCACGAATGCTCAGAGAGGCGGCAAAAGAACCAAAGCAAATCCTCCAGGCTGCACTCCAAGCCAGGCCCTGAGGTGCTCCCGGGCATAGTGCTTGGGCCCTCCCGGGGAGAGGCCTATGAGCCCATGAGCTGGAGCCCCGAGGAGCCAGCTGGGGGACCTCATTCGGCCCCTCCGACAGCACCCAGCCTTTTCCTGTTCAGCGAGACGACCGCGATGAAGTGCAGGAGTCCCGGCTGCCCCTTCACGCTGAACGTGCAGCACAACGGATTTTGCGAGCGCTGCCACAACGCCCGGCAGCTTACTGCAGGCCACAGCCCGGACAGCATGAGGCACTTAGACCCTGGGAAGTGCCGAGCCTGCTTACAGGACGTCACCCGGACATTTAACGGCATCTGCAGTACGTGCTTCAAAAGGACTACGGCGGAGCCCTCCTCGGGCCTCAGCTCCAGCGTCCCTCCTTCCTGTCACCAGCGGTCCAAGTCAGACCCCTCGCAGCTCATCCAGAGTCTCTCCCCACATGCTTGCCGCAGAGCCGGGACCGAGGCTCCCTCCGGCTGCCTCTCTCAGGCCACACGGACTCCAGGGGACAGGACGGGGACCAGCAAATGCAGAAAAGCCGGCTGCGTGTATTTTGGGACTCCAGAAAACAAAGGCTTCTGCACGCTGTGTTTCATTGAGTACAGAGAAAACAAACGTGAGTGACATGATTAGTTTCCTAACCCCGTTTCAAAACCCCTGGTCTAGAAGCTGCAAGAAAGTAGCCCCTCTGGGTGGTGGGCACAGTGGGACAATCGCCTGGAGACGTAAGCCACAGAAATCCACCTTCCAAAACCCTACAGCACCTCGTAGATAGAGTTCAGAGGATTTGTGTCATGAGGTCATGCAGCATCTGGCATTTATAAGGTAGAGTTTAAACGGGACTTCTTTGGAAACGTAGGTGTGATAGAGGACATTCAAGATCCAAAGAGCAGTAGCTGGACTGAAGGAAGCCTCTGCCAACATTGTAAGAAAACCTGGGTGGTTTTAGCAATCTCTAGCTTGAAAGAGGGATGGGCAGTTGACGTCTTTGCATGTTCTGTTACTGCACCTGGCCAGTGCAGCACATTCAAAAGTGAGACATCTGTAAAGTTACAGATGTTTTGATGATGACATTATTACCATTTTTTATTTGGCTGAATTTATAAAAGGCTGTGTTCATGGATGCATGGCATAGGCTGCCCTAAGCTGCATCCAGAACCTGTGTGTTTCTTTAACAGCAAGGTCTCTCCCTGCTTGGAGACCACATGTGACACTGATGGGCCCCAAACTCTCTTTTAGATTTTGTCACTGCCTCAACAAAAGCCAGTCCCACGGCCCCCAGGTTCCAGAACGCTGTTCCGTGCTTGGGGAGGGAATGTGGCACCGTTGGCAGCACCGTGTTTGAAGGATACTGTCAGAAGTGTTTCATTGAAGCTCAGAGTCAGAGATTTCATGAAGCGAAAAGGACCGAAGAGCAACTGGTGAGACATTTTGAGGTATTTTCCCTCCCCCGCCAGGATGCCCTCCTGGCTGGAGCCCCTGCTTCTGACCAGACCATCAGACTCTCCTCCCAGCCAAGTTCCAGGGAAGAATTGTGGGGGTGGAGAGAAGTCATGTGGCCCCCAGGGTTGGAAGTGCAGTAGCTACTCTTGATTTTCATGGCTTAAGTGTACTTTAGAACTCATTTAAAAATTAAATGGAGGGACGCCTGGGTGGCTCAGTGGTTGAGCAGCTGCCTTCAGCTCAGAGCATGATCCCAGGGTCCTGGGATCAAGTCCTGTATGAGGTTCCCGCAGGCAGCCTGCTTCTCCCTCTGCTTGTGTCTCTTATGAATAAATAAATAAAATTAAAAAAAAAAAAGATGACTTAAAAACTAAATCGAGTCATCCATAGAATAAAACCTCTTAATGCCCACAGAAAGCCAGACATTGAACAGAGACTGCTTGAGTTTTAGTAGCAGCAAAGGCATCTGAGTGGCCAGCAGGCTTTCTGAAGTAATCCTTTGTCACAAGACAGGAGGAGGAGACAGAGCAACCCCAGTGCCTCCACACAGTGGCACATAAGAAAAGCAAACTTTGACTGATGGGCACCTGTCCCTTTGTTCACAAGAAGGGCAGCGTCTTACTAATCTAAGCAGAGGCCGCTGGGCCAGGCTTCGCAGGCCACTGGGCCAGGCCTGGTACTTGGCCTCCCGGGGGCCAGGCCTGCTTTCGTGGTCCTGGGCGGGGAGGCGTCCTTGGAGAGCTCCCATTCTCAGACTGTGTGTGCCGCTCCGGTTTCCCTGGGTCAGGCAGCTGCTCTCCATCCATCGAGTTCTCTGTAACTCCCTTCCTGGCTAATGGGATTGCCTAGTGTTCTCCCTGAGAAAATGGGACCAACAACTCCCTCTGCCCTTTCCACTCAGCGATCCAGCCAGCGCAGAGATGCTCCTCGAAGCACCCCGAGCGCCTCCAGGCCCAAGTGTGCCCGGGCCTCCTGCAAGAACATCCTGGCCTGCCGCAGCGAGGAGCTCTGCATGGAGTGCCAGCACCTCAGCCAGCGAGTGGGCGCCGGGGTCCACCGGGGCGAGCCGGTTCCCGAGGAACCCCCCAAGCAGCGCTGCCGGGCCCCCGCCTGCGATCACTTCGGCAACGCCAAGTGTAATGGCTACTGCAACGAGTGCTTCCAGTTCAAGCAGCTGTACGGCTGAGGGTTGCGGCGGGCTGGCCCAGCCACGGGGCACCTCGAGCCTTAGCCAGCATGGTGCTAGCCCCCGAACACTCCTGTGCCGCAGCGGGGAGCTCCGGGGCGGCTTTGAGCCGGGGAGCAAAGAGAAGCTCCGGTCGCTGTCGTCGCCGCCAGCGTTCCCACATGGCCTTTGAGCAAGAGCAAGGCTAGTGACTGGTGGCAGATGGGTCTGGTCCTGCCCGGCCGGGGGCTGCTGCTGCTCCTCCTCCCCCTCCCCTCCTCCTCCTCCTCTTCCTTTTCCTCCTCCTCCTTCTCCTCCTCTTCCTCCTCCTCACCTGCCACTTGGAAAGCCAGGAACTTCATGGACTTGGGTGCCAGGACGGCTTCATCATCTCGGGAAGAAAGGGAGAAGATGCTCGGGCAGGCGGGCTAGGAAACCCAGAGCCATTCCACCCGCCCAGCTGCACATGGGCCTGGCCCAGAGCTGAAGCTCCACGGGCCGCAGCCTTTGGCCGGGAGTCCAGGAAGCTCAGGGAGACCCGACATGTCCAGAGTGCCACTCAGTGGTGAGTGGCCTTTTCCTCCCCGCCTCGTCTCTTTCCCACGGACATGGCAGACACAGCCATCCACAGACTGTGGTTCTGAGGCTGCTGAGACTGAATAAGTTCACACTGAAAAGCAAACCAGCTGCTCTTTACCGAATGCACCTTGGAAGAATCAGAATATTCTAGTGGGAAGATGTGTGACTCTGATTATCACTGTCTTCACTTCTAAAGAAGTTAGCTTGAACTGAGGTGTGCATAAAAATGTGTACATATATAATGTACCCTTATATTATGTATGAGGGAATTTTTTTATTACATTGAAATGCTGCCCTAGAGATTTAAGTAGGAAAACTGAATAATAACCTATTTTCTGGTTGTTGTTGGGGCGCCATCTGTATAGAGCTTGCATGAATTCAACCAGCTGTCTTGTTAAAGTGAGCTCCCTATTGTGTCTATGTAATTCACTTTATTTATTTTATTTCAAACTTCAAGGTTATTTAAATGAAGATGTTTCTTCTGCTCTGGGTAAAGTGCTTGCTGTAGTGTCTTCTTGAAGTAACATATTCGTATTGAGTCGTCTTTTAGGCGAGTTCCTTAGTACCTTGGGGATTTGGTCTCTTTGATGTACCGTGGTTGTCTTCCCTAAGAAAGAAGGAATTGCATCAAAGGTGTAGACATTAAAAGCTCATGCTTCTTAATGAAACTTGGGTCAGAGCCACCTCCTAGCCACCTGCTTTCTGCAGTAGACAGATGCCTCTGAGTATCCTACCTCCTTAAAGATGAGATTGGGAAGGAATAGGGATGAAATTGGAGGAGGTCACGGGAAGATGTGACCTTTAATGATGGTTTTATTTGCTGTTTAACACTGTGTCCTGGGGTGCTGGCAGTGACCTCACATCCAGTGGCACTTTAGCGCCAGGACAGCAAAACCCTGTGACCATGAGCATAAGGAAATTTCTTTTTGTCCTTGGCCTGCAGTTTTTCTCTTTGCTTTATGTTACCGTCATACTTGTTCTAGAAAAAAGGGGGAAACAAATTGTCCCTAGAGGTAAAGGCTGCCTTTTTTTTTTTTTTTTTTGGTCCAGATCTTATGACCTAAAAATATTAGCAACCTATAACTCTACACAGCCTTTACTTGTGCTACCTGACATGTTTGCCACTTGGAGTGCCATAAGTCTATTTCCTCAACATAAATCTTAATAATTTTTTTCTAAAGATTTCAAATACTTCAGTGTTCATCCAGTTCTTCTGAAGTCAATATTTTAATATTTTGTGTGTATCGATATTTTCATTCTTAATGTGAAAAAATGGAATTATTTATACTTATTATAGAAAGCATTTGAAATTTGCACATTTAGTTGTCCCTAATAGAGAGCTATTTACTCTGTTGGATTCCTTCAAGTTTTCATAAATAAGTGTAACTTTTCACAAAAGTCAATATTAAAAAATAAATTATTTAAGAATAAATTTTGATGTTTTCTGTTTACAAATGATGATAAAGAGACTGTAATATTAAAGCCATGTTTCCCAAACAGCTTCATTTTGAGGTATACCTGGAGAGTGACACATGTCCCACCCCTGTTTAGTAAGAGAACTTTGTGAACATTATAATGGCATGAGGGTAGGGCATCGTTCAACAGCAAGGACACTGAGACCCAGACAAGAGTGGGAAAGGTTCACCTATGCCCATTCCCAGGGGCCATTAGGTCGCTGTGCCCCTCCAAAGGTTCCTGCCCCTGGTCTTAATGGAGTGCTGAAAAGGAAAAGAGGACAGAGGAGCAGAGAAAGGCTTGGAAAGACAGAAATAGGAAGGAGGAGGAAAGCCTGGTGTAAGACTAACTGGGTCAGATTTAGAATAGGTGACATCTGGCTCTGGTGCCTGGGAGGACCAGCAGTACCAAAGACCTGGGAAATTGCAAAATGACACATTCTTCTGTCCAGTGCAAACATACTCGCAGAAGATTGATTCGGGAGGACTGCAGCTCCCAGAATCTGTTTTTTAAAGCTCCCTAGGAGATTCTGATCATCAGTGAGATTTTAGAACCATGCTTTAACAAATTATTCATGATCCTTTTTTAACTTATTGTGGGAAATGTTAACACACAACAAATGAGTATAACGAACCCTATGTATCCATTATCTGGTTTTGAGAGCTATCACATTTTACCAAATTTGTTTCATCTGTGACCCCCCCTCTCTTTTTTCTGGATGATTTCAAAGCAGATCCTTACACCCGCAAATATATCAGTCCACCTCTCTAACTGATCATTGTTCTTTCTATACAACCACCATTTTTACACCTAGCTAAATAATTTTTCGTGTCATCCAATGCTAAATATGAATTCTAACCTCTCAGTTTGTCCAGACATAGTCCTATTGCTTTGGGTTGCTAGCAGTAAAAGAATTTAAGGCTCTTTTATTCTGTAACATTCTCTTAATTTTTCATCCTATTAATTTGTTGGGGCAATTGGATCATTTGTTCTGTAGAAGAGCCTACATTCTGAATTTGGCGAACTGCTTTCTTATGGTGCCATTTAACTTGTTCTTCTCTTCAGTACTTTGTATTCAATTCTAGTTCAATGAGGCAAGAACCATCCACAGGTGGTGCTGCGTGTCCCATAGAGTCCCGTCCTGTGTGAGCTCTATGAATGCCAAACCGGAAGAATCATAAAGCCTCAAATTCACCTTTTCTCTTTTTTTGTCCATTCTTCCTCCCATCTCTCACTCAGCATTAAAAATTATAATTCTTCAATCAGCATGATGAACATAAGCATCTGACCATAAGTCATCAGGATTTCTAAAATAGGAAATGAGTTATAATCAGCAAATTATCTCTGACTCAGAAGAATGGCACATAGACAAGGGCATAGGGCAGGTTGGAAGACAGCAAGAGAGCCACCCAGTCAGGGCAGGACTCAGTCTGGAGTCGTGGCTGGGCCTCTGCTGATTAGGGGGCCTATAAAGTATATGCACAATCTTATGTTAGGGTGTGTACATTATTTTTCTGTAGGGCAGCCAATCAGTGGCTTTCTTCAGAGTCTCAAAGAAACAGGATTTTTCTAAAAAGGCAAAGAACCTAAGCATAAAAAGGGCTACGAAATGAGGCTTGGGAAGAACTGGCTTTGCTTCAGCTTGCCCAGATCTTTGCTTCCAGTGCTGGAAATGTCACCCTCATACCACACAAGCATGGACATTCACATTATCCAAAATTGAGCTCAATATTCTATCCCTGCCTCCCTTGTTCCCATGCTCAGGGAAGGGCATTATCTTCCCAGCCACTCTAGACTTTTTCTCCCTCCTCCCACATCCAAACTTCATGAAGTGTATCTCCAATGTGTATCTCCAATCCACACCTCACCTCTGTCCTTCTGCCACTCCGGCCGGGGCCCTAGCCTCCTTCCAACTTTTTGCCTCCACTCTCCCCCTTTCTAGCCCACTCTCTTGCTATAAGTTTACTGGTCACGTATGCTTCTAAACCAGAGACCTGAGAAGGCTTCTCCTCTAATTAAAACTCTGTGATGGCTTTCTACTGCTCCCAAAGCTGGGTGCATGCAGCAGGAAATGCAGGAAGAAAATAAGAAAACTGAGTTCATTCTGCAAATATTTGATACATGAATTACTACTGGTGATCTCCTTTTCTCAATATTAGAGGCCACTGTCACCTGCAAGTTGTCCAGCTAAGAGAGGGTAGTAGTGGCACCTCCATTCATTTGCTTCTTGCATGTTGAGACAAATTACATTTGAATTATCCCATGTTACATGATTTTATGGTTAAAACTGATGGAGCTGTGCCACCTATAAACTTTCCTATCTGCAACCTAAACTTAGAAACCACAATTTTTAGTCTGCTTAAAAATTATCCAAATGAAGAGCTTTAGGGAATTTTGAACCCATTTATTAGAAATACCAACATAGGGACGCCTGGGTGGCTCAGCAGTTGAGCATCTGCCTTAGGCTCAGGGTATAATCCTGGGGTCCTGGGATCAAGTCCCCTCATCGGGCTCCCTGCGGGGAGCCTGCCTCTCCCTCTGCCTGTGTCTGTGCCTTTCTCTCTGCCTATTCTCTCATGAATAAATAAATAAAATCTTTTTTAAAAAAATAAAGAGCATGTGCTGAAAAAAAAAAACAACATAGTTTTACATCTTTTCAGCAGCTAATTGGCATAAAAAATTAGAATTACTGAGTTTCAACAAAGAACATTGCATAGTTGATAGCTAGAATGAAACAGTTAATATGAATAAGGAGGCACAATAATTTTTTTCTTTCCATTCTGTTTTCTATTACTCTTCTTTGTAGGTGTACTTTCCAGCTCTGAAGGTCATTAACATCAAAGATCACAACAAAGAGAACTTAGACTTTGGAATGGCTTTATCCCGAAGTGATAGATAATGATTTTTTTTTTAAAATAAGGAAGTGTATTTACTGATTTCATTATTTCTTATTGAGAACAAAAGGTGTTTTTACCATTAATAAAAAAATAATCGTTTTTAGAATATTACTTCATATTTATCTCAGTGTTTTGAAATCCTTACATTTTGTGATTTTTAATGTTTTATATAAAATAGTAACATATTTTCATTGATTTAAAATAACACATACGGGGGCAGCCCCGGTGGCTTAGCAGTTTAGCGCCGCCTTTAGCCCAGGGCCTGATCCTGGAGATCCCAGATCGAGTCCCACGTCAGGCTCCCTGCATGGAGCCTGCTTCTCCCTGTGCCTGTGTCTCTGCCTCTTCTCTTTCTCAATCTCAATCTCTCTCTCTCTGTCATGAATAAATAAATAAAATCTTAAAAAGATAAATAAATAAAATAATACATACGGAACACCTGGGTGGCTCAGCGGTTGGGTGCCTGCCTTCAGTTGAGGTCATGATCCTGGAAGTCAGGATCAAGTGCCACATTGGGCTCCCTGCAGGGAGCCTGCTTCTCCCCCTCCCTGTGTCTCTGCCTCTCTCTCTCATGAATAAATAGATTAAAAAAAAGAAAGAAAGAAAAAGAAAATATATAATACATATATTGTAAATGTACTCTCAAAAATATTTTTTAAAGATTTAAATCATTATATGAGATGAGATCAAAAGCCTTTGGAATTGAATTTCCAACATGTTATACAATGCTGTTGACAATTTGAAACAATTTAAGTATTCATTTTTGCCTTCTGCCACTATTATAGCTATCTCATGACCTTCTATACTCTCTTCTGCACTCTCTAGAAAAGAAAACCTTTTGGTCTCAGGACCCCTTTATGCTCTTAAAAATTATTAAAGACTCCAGAGAGCTTGTGTTTATGTGTGTTATATCTATTTATATTTAGCCCTTAGAAATTAAAACTAAAAAATGCCAAACCGCAGAATATCCAAGCAAACATTCCATTAGCTTCCAAAATGATGATATTGTTACATGTCACAGAACAGTAAGGAGTCATAAGGACCCCTAGAGGTCTCCAGACATGACTTTAAGAACCTCTGCTCTAGAATGATGATTCTTAACCCACGCTTGCCATCGCCATACCAGGAACACTGCAGAATGTTTTGATAATGCCTTGTGTCTATGGCCTGCCTGCGGCCAGGGATTCAGTGCCTATTGCAGGACAGAGGCGCGGACGTAGCCCTCATGGCAAAGATTGTCTCTAAGCAATGGACCCTAGGCTTTTTGGACTGTGTGTCCCTACCAGTAAACATGTACTGAGCATGTACTCCCACTATGTGTGTATTTATTTCTTTATAAATTATATACATATGTTACCTTATCAGCGGATCCTACACCTTGTAAAACATGCAAAAAAATAGGAGATAAAAACCAAATCAAAAATAATTCTACCACCTTCCTCCCATGCCCCAGTGAGTCTTGGGCACACACTTTGAAGGCAGCTGTAGACATAATTCTGCAGATTTCTCTACCTCTTTGCCTTTCCTGGGTTGTCTTCCTGGACGCCTCGCTGCCTTCCTCCCGCATCTCCCTGCTCCCTTCACCGGAACCTGGCCCAGCTCCTTCCTTATGCTCTGCATTCTCCCAGCTATCATCGGAAGAACTTGAAATTTTGTAAAAGGAATCTTAGGCTCAAACCCTGGTTCTGTTCCCTGTTAGTTATTCGGATTTGAGCAAGTTGTCTCCTGTCTCTGAGTCTCAGCTTCCTCAACTATAAAATGCTCCCGAAATGTTTTCTAAGATACATTAAGGAACTTTTCCTCACTCATCCCACTGGAAACATCCTTCTCTATCAGTAACTGAGTGATAGGTCCTTATCCTGAGGACATATTAGAATCACCCAGAGGGCTTTTAAACCAGCCAACGTCCAGAGATTTCCACCTTTAATTGGCCTGAGATGACACTCTTGGGTATTGGATTTTTTTTTTTAAAGTTTGGGTGAATCTACAATGTAGCCAGGATTTGGAATCAGTAGTAGCCAAAAGAGCACTATTTTCACAGAGGCA